AACAGGCTCAATCAAACCGAGCCTGCAACATTTTCAATTTTGTTGTGCTGGGCTTTCTTTAGGGATTCTGCTTTACTCTATTTTAACAAAAGATTACTAGGACAAGCTTTTTCAACAAGAATAACATTTAAAGAATTTTAGGAAAAGCATTTTTAGATATACTCTTTACTCTTTGAATGGGATATTGAAAAAAATATGTGTGTTTTGTTCTCTTTCTTGGCTCAATTTGTGTTACTAAACAGTAACTTAAAGTCTTTATGATGATATCAAAGATCAATCCATTTTCCTATTTTTATTCACCATACTAGAACATTTTTATGTTGATACCTTAAGTATTACATTGTCTTAACACAAATTAATGAGAGTTATAAGAAACTAATGAAAGTTTAGTTGCATGTTTTGAAAACCTATATAGATACAAAAATATGCAAAAAGAACAATCAGCCATCCACGTTAAGTTATCTACTGAAGTTATGTGATATTTTTAAACTAATTTTAACGAAAAATAACACATAGCAAACAAAACAATTGAAATTGAAATTCTAAATATTTCAAGCATGTTTGTCTTTCAATAGATAAATACAGAATCCCTAAGTCATACAGCTAATGATTCCGTTCAAATAGGCGAAACAAGCATGATAACTGGAAATAAAAATAAATGCTTTCATTTCTTGTTGTTGCTCATGTTGCTTTTGTTGCCGCAATTTAATTCTACTTTCTGAAACTTCTCTATGAATTTAACACCTGGTATAACTTGCCTTCCAGGTATTCTAGCTTTCGTTGTATTATAACCGTTTATACTTAACTACATTTTAAAAAAATCATTGCGGACTCATTACTTCTTTATCTGCCAATTTACAAACAATTTGAATCATATCTCATCTAAATAATGTATAATACACGGCATTTTATAATTTATAAACAAATTGAATTATTTTAACACAACATTAAAACATTACGCTTGTAAAACATATATTTTAACTGCAAATATAGATTAATATATGAAATAGGAATAAATAATAATTTGTGAAACTAGGCAAAGTATAATATAAACATTTAAAACACACACGCAATTTTGTTTTCATAAGTCGTAACGAAGGATTATTTATCGTCCATGTTTCTCCAATGATTCAATTTAGTACATAATTATATAATAGGTGTAAAATATAAAAATGGAGTCATCTGAAATTAGTGTGAATGGAAACAAGGAAAAATAATGCAATCTTAGCGGCTTGTGAAATAAGCGCGTATGAACTGTTATGAATGGTAAATGTAAGTGACCTACACCATAATATGTTTGGCATGCTTTAAACAATATCTAATTTCCAATATCTCATGTTTCTAACTACATGTATATATACATTACAAAACATTTAACGTACGACTTTTGTTAAATTTGTAAATTTAGATTTTACCAGTAATATCTGTCATATGTTGCGGTTTAGATTGGTATATTCTTTCCGAGAGGACTCGCCCATTGGGCGGTAACGAGGCTTGTCGAGTACCCGTCTATAGGGGGTCCTGAGTTCCGACGAATATTTCGATTCAAACCTCAAAATATGTCAGATATTTGTTCTTGCATATTCTGCCATATTCCATTATATTTTAAATGTTTTACCTTAAATAAATTTTCCATGGAAATGTATGTCATTTCGTCGGTAACTATTTTCTTACAACAGCGTATACGTAAGAAATAAGAACTTCATACGCATGCCATTGTATAGAACACGGCTCATTCTGGCACCCCCATGTCAGATAAAATTTGGGTAAAACTAACGGAAACACCAGTCTGATGTGCAAGAAAACAAGTCCGTGTTTTAAATTATGCCACATAAATCTTCATTAAAAAAACTCAGATTTCAGGATATCATATTCTGTTAATTACTTTACATGACGCTTAAAATATTTTGTTTTGCAACACAATTCTTTTCACTTAAATTAGGTTAAGACTAACACAAAAGAAAACTAATTGCAGATTATATTCGTAAATAATTGTTGCATTTTTTCGACTTCCTTAGACGATCTTTATAAGAAATTCAAATGCTATGCTTTTTTTAGAATTCTTTTAAATCAAACATAGGTTTTTCAGTAACATTTCCTTAACGTGTACTATTACTTTTTTCTATAAAGTTCAACAGCGTGATTTAAATTAAATCTATGTGAATTAATTTGATTGTCATACGTTTAAAAAGATTGATTATTCATGTATAAATTCAACAGCACATTTTCACAGGAAGGATATTGTGTTATATAAAAAAAATAAAATGAAAAGAAAAGAAAATGAATTAAGGAAGGCATAACAAGTAGAATCGAATGAAAAGCAACGATTGTACAATTTCATTGGTCACAAGACTGGATACCATTGTAAAATCCAGCAATTCATTTAAAGAGAGACAATTAAATTTTCAGGAAAAATCGAACAATTTAGGTAAAACTGAAAACAAAATGTAATTGTGCAGATGACAGACTGACAAAAATATTACAAGGGAGGCTTAATTCCCACAACATACGGTTGTCGAACTTTTGTGGCTTACTAGAACCAGATAGACAAATAAGTTTTTACCAACAATGAGGGACATTGAAAAACAGAACTTTCACATATTTGAAACAACCTAAGTAACTCGCCGTGTTCTAATGCCCTATGAAAACTAATAAATAATGAAATTATAGCGCTTTCAGAGAAGAGATGATCAATAACAATTAGTTCAAAAAGAGTTAGGTACAAGCAGTAACTTCCTAGTGGGTCGCTGAGCAGTTCCCTGTTGAAATATAGGAACTAGGAAGTAGTTGCAGTTGATCGAGCTATCTCATGTATTTTTCTATTATTGATATTTTAATTAAAATACTCAACGCGACAACTATATCGTTAACTGAGGAAAGAAAGATACCTCCATAACAGAAATATGCCTATCTATTTTGTGTCTCCCTTACATGTCTAAACTCACACAAACAAAGCGGTTAAGAACAATAAATCACATACTATTAAGCATATCCTTAGCACGTAACTTCCACATGTTGCAAACAAGTTAAGAACGTTGGCACGTGTACCAAAATCGTGTAAAAGACATAATAATAATAATAATAATAATTGTTAGATCAATATGTAGCCAAACAAGTCTCTCATTAGGAGCATAATATCCTGCAAAACAGACGACTTCAATAGACCAATGGATAACCCAGTGTTTGTAATTAAAGTTCATAGGTCTAGGCTTGCAGATAAAGCTGAAGCTAACCCTTAAAATGACATTATGCTCATACTTTTATAGTCAAGTTAAGCTGAATTGACTTTATATTTCAAAAAAATGACTGTCGAAATGGTGTTTGACCAATTTTGATTTTGGAAAACTTCTTAGGATAAAATGATATATCTGCTTAAATTTAAAAGATTGCCACTCGTTTTATAAACTAAGCGTTATAGTTTAATTCTATTGGATACTTACAGAAATTTCGTTTAGATCTGTGCGTTATTAATTGTCTATGCGAACTTAATTATTAAATTAAAAGGAATTATGGCAAAAGGAAAACTTATTTTGATCTTCACCCGTTCACTCAATATATATCCTTGGATGGGCATAATGTCACTTTAAGATACCATTCAACGAAAAATATGACGAATAAAATGAAAGCAGTTTTCTATGGATAGGAGTTTTAACTTAATTAACTGTTCAATCAAACATCAAATGAAACCGTAACGAACCGTGTTTCCGATTAGTCAAAGTCTCAATCCAAAATGAAAGTAACGGACTATTTCGTATGGAGTATTTTCATTGGTCATGTGAAAAACTCAGACCAATGAAAATACTCCTTACAAAAAAGGGGAGAGCACTCTGGCGCAACCATGGGGTTTGAACTCATGCGGCTAGCGATTACTAGATAATTAGTTCGACGCATTTAAGGGATGTATTTCTGATAACGTCTTCAAGATGATTATAAATATGATATTCTGTATTGTTTTTAAAAACATATTAATAACGTCATATATAAAACTTTCTTTATGAAAATATAACACAAATTTTGAATGTAGTTTCGGTTAACTGTATGTAACATCCTTACGGTATTGCAAATTTTGAAGTTTTATGTATCCTGGCATTTCCTTCAGATACTTGTATCAGGAGCTCGATCTTCTTAAAAAGATAGTAAACGTCCCTTTTCTCAAGTTTTAATGAATACATCTGCGCTGTTGACATAGTTTTGCAGACATTGTTAACGTCTCTTGTTCCAGTATTTTAATAAGGGGTATCTTGCTTGTCAAACTTAAACTTAAGAGGTTATGATGACCTAGCTAGCCATTAATCTGTCTCTTCTATAATCAACTGATGTAAATCATAGTTCTTCCTAAACTATTGTGTCAAAATCTTTCTGCATTGTTTTAAGTAAAAATGTAATAGAGAATGCAAATATACGAAATAGTTTACAAAAAAAAAAGATTACAATCGAAATTTTCTCGGGGTACTTTATAGATTCACAAGACACCATTTAATATGACATTTAGCTGAAGTTGTAGAAGGCTGTTATCCTAGGTTATGCTTTGGCATTCAAGTGTGTTACATTCTTAGCTTTCAAACACTACGATTTTGTTTGTTGCTTCGTAGTTGGACATGTCATACATATAGTCATAAATAGATAAAATTGTAACAGGTATTCAATAATAATTAATATAAAATCAATTGTTGTTTCAGAATATTTATTATACTTCCTATCCCAGAGACAACATGATAAAATGATAATAATCAAAAAATAAATGTGAAGTATACTTATAATTTTCATTAATAATCTTTGATATGCCTGTCCTCAAAATAACACTTGACACGGGCCATAAAAGCTTATTACTGCTTTAAGAATGTCAATTGAAACTATATGAAATTATGGAGTTATGCAAGTATAGGAATTTTAATGGAAGCACATGCTTATCAAACAACAATTATTCAACAACACTATTTTAGGAAATATATAAACTGAAATCATAAACTATATTCAGCAAGTATAAACAGGGTTAGCATGTTATTTATTTACAATCTTACAGCCAAGTTTCAAAGGCTTAATGTAAAATGATTTGAATAAAAGCTAAAAACTTCAATTAACTGGCTCTCATTTTTAAACTGAGATAACAATAAGATGACAACATATTATAATATTTGTATATAAACGTTATTAAAGATAATAAAAAGCAACTACAATGTAAAATCAGACTAATCGCTATTTTTTTTAATGTTTCCAAAAACAAGAGAAAAAAGAACCCCCAAACAAAGTCCAACACTGCAAAAATGAAAATATTGCAGGCTCGGTTTGATTGGGCCTGTTTATGGACGGCACAGTCAAGTGCAAACCACCGCCCACGCCCCCTAGCACCGGCTAAAGCAGATTTCAACATTTACCATGAACTGGTATAATTTTGAATTTCGAAACATCCGCAGGTGTGTTCATATGGCGGTTATCACGGAACCTTCAATGTGAGACGTAAGTGTCACTCCATGAAAAGCGGCATATGGTCCTAAAGTAAACAATGCGTGTGCCCTAAACGAGAAAACAATGGGCGGAACTTAATGAAATGGAATTTTGATAGGGGGATCAGAGGTTATAAAGCATGCATATCACAAATAAGACGTCAAAAGGCAATTTAAAAAGCAGGTCACATATCCTAAGGGTGATTCAACAGTATTCAAGTGAGGAATACTGGAACCACCCAACAAGAAAATAGTCGAATAGAAAGAATTTAATGACAATAATGTCGTGCTGAACGAACTTTAAGGATCAAAAATATACATCTCAGATTGAATGTACGAGGCGACTTTTTACAGCCTCCACACGGCACAAACCACGCTGATGTTGCGATTAAATAGTGAAAACAATAACCCCCAAAGAAAGCCCAACACGGCAAAATTGAAAATATAGCAGGCTCGGTTCAAACTTCGGTCTCAATTTTCTGTTCAGACTTTGAGGGTTGACTTTGCACTGATGATTTAGAAGTTTTTGGTTTGTTTTGTTGACTGCCTATACCTTGATTCTGACCTTGGACTTTTTTAGAATTCTGCTTTAAAATATCACTTAACATGCTCTGTGTTATTTTAACCTGTTCAAGCAATTCTTCAAGCCGTTGATCTTGTTTTCTTTCGTTGGTTTCCCTGGCTTCCATGTTTTCGTCATGCTTTCTAGTTATATCATCTTTGATAATTGCAATTTCTTTCGTTAGTTTTTCAAATTGAACCGACTGATTCAAGTTGATTTCTTTAGCTTTTTGTAGTTCTTTATCCTTTTCAACTATTGTATTTTTTAATTCATCTATCTCTTTCCTATGTTTTACAATTCCGCTCTGGTCATATTCAGATCCATTTTTATTACCTTTTTCCGCGTTTATCAACTGTTTTTTCATCTCATATTCATTTTTCTCTGATGTTGTTATTTTCGCTTTGAGTTCTTGTATTTCGTTTTCTAAACGTGCAATTTTATTTGATTGGACAAAAGGGAGTTCTGAATCTTTTTCTTCCATTTTTCTTGCGATCGCCATTTTCAATATTATGACTGGGAATCATTTCGATAGTTTGCCTTTCTTCTTGCTGTAAACTTTCATTTTCATTTGAAATTTCATCTTTGGTTTTGTTTTTCTTTTTTAGCTTTTTTGATGTGGTCATTCCTTCTACATCCAAAAAACCAGAATCCTGAAATAACTGACCATTATTAGTATGACCCTTTGAATACGTAATCTAATTAAAACGCGTATCTGTATATAGAATATATTCAAATAATAGTATAATTACAACTTATAAAATGTTTACCAAGCCCCCTTCAGCCATGACTTTTTTTCTTTTCCGTCCAGTCAAATCGATTCTTGAACTGAAAAGAAAATGAGACTTCAATCGTCATTTTCATTCAAATTTTGCTCTATTATTCTTAACTACTTCAACAATAACAGCAAAAACTTTTATTCTACTATCCAGATGAACCATTTGTTATTCATATTGGAATTTAACATATTATCGTGACATTTATTACATATCTTGATTGATTTTGATTTGCGGACAAAATATTACTCCAAAATTTGATAATTCTCGATTTAATGGTATCTATTTAGTTCTTCGTATAGCATATTGAGAGGCATCGTCGGAACCCACGGTATACATTCCGTATATGCTACATTTAATATATGTATACGGTAAATAACCTGGATTATCGAGGATGATGAAAAGGTGTATTGTAATATTTTTTCATTTTTGTATTCTGAAGGAGAATGTTTTTGTTTTCAATAATGTCAAAATATATTTTCTAAACCCGCTATTCTGCAAATGGTATCATGTCACTTGGTTAACAATAATTTTACCTTTATTTTATGGTCTCTATGTGAGCTGCATTTGTTCATATGAAATATATATGTACTTAGATAATTATTATCTGTTTTATTTAGTAACAGATTATTTGTGAATGTCATTGAATATTTTCAGGTTAACTGAATTTGTTTTAGTTCGATTATGTTGGAAGCTGTAAGTTTATTGAAATATGTTCGAATCCGTTCCTGGAACCAATATGTACTTAGTAATGAGTCCAGGTTGCTTGGACTCTGACTGTCAAAATGCTTTTACCAATTACTGATAACCAATAGGCCTTTACCGCGCAAACTTCATAGGAGCATTGACCTTGGGCAGTAAATGACCCCTTTTGATTTTCGGGGAGATGGCTCAAAGTTCAATGTCACGTTGCCCTTTATGTCCAAATTGTTCCTGATCTATAACGCAACAATCCATTGGCCTATGGCCGTCAAACCTTATAAATGTTTTGGCCTTGGGCAGTAAATAATATTATTGATTTCGGGGTCGAGGGCTCAAAGTTCATGATGAAATTTGTTTTGTATCCCAAAACGCTTTCAAACGAATAACTCGACAAGCCATAGGCTGGAGTCTCAAACTAAACTTCAAAGGTGTATTTGTTTTGGGTTGTATATGACTCCTATCGCTTTCAATGTTAAAGGATCAAATGTCAAAATACCTGATCTTGTACGCTAAAACAGATTTGATGCCGATATATTTCTTTGTACAATTCATGCTTACTTGTCCACTATTATTTGCTTATCCATTATGTTATGTAAGGAGAACATATTTGTCATTTGACATCTTTTGTTTTGTTTTGGTTCCCTGCAAACGACTACTATTGGTCTCTATGAATCGAATGATTATATTTGTCATGCGACTTTATTAAATACTTTTAAAACAAGAAGTATCTTTTAAAGGGATACTCGGCCGAAGTATAACTGTATAATATGCAAAAGTATGTAATTTTAAGTTTTCAATACATAAAGTAATGTTAGCAATGCTTGCATAACAATAACATAATAATTATTTCTTATAGCTATTAAGAAAATACCCATTGTGTAAACATTGAAATTAAATAAAATGAAAGCATATTGATATTGATTATTTTTCAAAGAAGAACAACTCTTGATAAAGGTGTCCTTTTTACTTCTTTTCCATTTGACTTTATAAATGTTTTAATCATTTACAAATTAACTTAAAAGTTAAAGAAGTATCCTCATTCCTGTACATTTTATTTTTGAAGTATCCTTTACACTTTATTGTGACAAAACTTATCCTTAATTTTTTAAAGAATGGTAAGAACTACATTTTATTTTAAAATGACCAATAAGATTTACCGATTTCAGTTTGTAATTTTAAAAATTTTGAAAATTTTTTCTTATATTCAGTATTTACCTGTTAATTTTACAGAAAGGTCATACAGATAAACGACGGATTTTCTACTGAAGGGCAATAACTCCGCCAAAAAATCATATGAAAAGTGGAAAACCTGTGTTATATGCGCAAGTACTTGAGGTACTAATTAATCCTGTAAAGTTTTAATGAAATTGGATTTATAATTTAATAGTATAAGACATGTATTCCGGACCCCCATAACATTTTGGCATGCTTTAACAATATCTTATTTCCAGTTCCACATGGTTCCAACTATATACATATAAATGATGACGTCAGACACTTGCTTAATCAGTTGTAAATTTAGAATTTATGACAAGTCCATAGACATGTCGAATTTATTGGACACAAAACAAATATTTTAAATAATGCATATAAATTTTCATAAAAATATTTAGATATAAGGAGATGATCTTCTGGTAATAACTTTAGGTGAAACTTTAAATTTTTGTAGAAAATTTTTGTTGGAAATCGTATTTTTGTGCATGAATTAGCCCAATTTGAGTGAAAAGCGTTGATCATTTTTCATAATAACAATAATAATTAATCTGGAAGAACAGAGTCTGCAATGACCTAAAAGTTTACATAAATATTCTTGCCTGAACCTTCATTAAAAGGAACATTTATTTTGAAAACATATTTTTCCCAGTCCTGTCTTGTCAATAAAACTAGAATTGAGACCCCTTACACTGCATCGGAATGACCGATCATTGACTTAACCATTTGCTTTTCTTAACTTAGTATAATAACGAATATTTACATATTTTCAAGAATTAAGGAATAAGTATCTGGCGGATATTTCATTACGTTAAACAACATTACTGTGGCAGGTATGTGAATAATTCTAGATACATGTAATTTGTATGATTTCAAATGATGCTATATTAAAAATTGCATTACCAATTTAAAGTTTAAATTATTATTAGCATCACTTATTCTGGCAAGCACGTGATTATTTTAAATTCTGATTATTTTAAATCCGAAAGCATTGACTTGTTTTTTATATAATCAACTAAGTTATTACAGTCAAGATCTGTGTTTCATATTTTATTAAACGAATGTTGTTGTTTTTTTGTTATTTTATTCAGATAAATCTTAAAGATTTTATCTCTTAAATCATGATAGGTTTTTAAGTATCCTCTCCTTAACGTTACTATTACTTTTTGCCATCAAGCTAATTTAAAACAACACGATTGAATGTATACTTTCAACCTGACTGAAGTTCAGATTTAATTATTTCTTCCATGTAGATCAGATGACGACCGTCCATGTTTCGCCTTCTTTATAATATGTGTAATTTGGATTTCCCGAGAAAGTTATTTTAGCCATGCAATCAAACCGGTTTTTACAGAAAGTATAAAAACCGTTATCCGTGGAAGATAAACAAATTGTTGATTTGTGTCAAAAACTATTTACTATTCTAATTTTTAACAAAATAATTTAAAAAATAGTCATTTTTTAACGGGCAAGATCGGCTGTATGAACGACGTCATTTTTGTTCTCGAAATCGTGAAAATTACCTACTCAGTATTGGTTTTCCAAGGGTAAATATTAAAATATCGCATCTTTTTCAAAATAATGAAAGCTCGCCAGTGATTGGTTGTTTGAAAGACTACAAGAAGGTGACTGTCTATGAGTGAATGTTACATCCTAATGCACAGCGAAATTTAAGAGCTGATTTTAAGAAGATTGTGTAAATTATGTGAATGAATTTGATTGTCATACATTTGATAAGATTATTTGTTCATGTATGAATTCAAAAGCAAATTTACACAAAAAATAAAAAAATAATATACATTTAGGCAATGAACACAGCTTTTTAAACAATCAGAAATACAAATAAATAAATTACCTTCATAACAAAACGGAGCTTACACTGTATAAATGTACTAAATGCCTGATAGTTTAGAAACTCAATGAAATAAATTCTTAAAGTGTATAATCAAATTTTCCAATAGTGAATACCATCGATTACAATAGGTATACATGCATTGTAATTGGATAGTTCTAGTAAAGGATGACAAATTCTGTAATTTTTTAGTACGAGTATTTAAATCAACGCAAGTACTTGAAATTTGCAAACTCCGTCTGAATTATAAGGCCATAAATGAGTAAAACAGGTAAGATGGTGCTCACACGATACACTTGGTGTTATAACATTGAAAATTAAAATATTCTTTTAGAAGCTTAAAATTTTGACAAAACAAGCATAACTTACCTTTAGTTTGATGTTAAACCTTTCTTAAAACAAACTGTTCGCTTGATAAAATTATTTATTGAAATTTTAGGAAGTGAATTAAACAATGGAAAGTAATCGATTTCTATTAAGTGACTATCTATATGTAAATGCATTGTCTTATGCGATCATTGACACTTAAAGGTCTAACCTTGTAATTGTGTGAAATAATTGTAACAATACATTCTTTCACCCATGTGTCCCCCTCCTTTTGAATTGATTGCAAATGTTTGAAATTCAAACTATCTAATCTATAAAATGCATATTTAATACGAGGTGTGTTCAATTCATTATGTAACATAATATAAGGGCGTCCGTGGCCGAGTGGTTAAGGTCGTTGACTTCAAACCACTTGCCCCTCACCGCTGTGGGTTCGAATCCCGACAGGGACTTTGGATCATTTCATGTGAGGAAGCTATCCAGCTAGCTTACGGAACGTCGGTGGTTCTACTCAGGTACCCGTCCGTGCCTGAAATAATGCACGGAAAGGCACATGAGGTCTGGAACGTCGCGAAATGACCTATACTGTGTCGATGTGGCCTAAAACCAAACAATAAAACATAATAAGATCGTATAGCTTACAAAACTCGTTCAAGGCGATTAATTCATTCACACACCTCCTCTATTGTTTGTGACAGGTCTATATTTTTCGGATATACCTGCTTAAACAAAAGAAAGTCCGTTATTAGGTCTATCTTTTGCACGTGCACAGGTCTGTTCTAGTCAGACAGACCCGATCATGAAATACACGTGAATAAAATGACCTGCCATTGAAGCGCAGACAAAGAAAACATGAAATGCAATCAAAAAATAAAAATTGAAATAAAATGTAAATGATTGTCATAATGTTCTTGTCTTACAAAATCTGGATACATATTTTAAACAAATTAATGTTTATTGA